CAGTATATAATACAGTATATAATATAATAATAATTCCCACCTTCCTATCCAGCCGGTGAAGGTCTCCCCGGGGCAGTATATAATACAGTATATAATATAATAATATAATAATAATTCCCACCTTCCTATCCAGCCGGACGGTGTAGGTCTCCCCGGGGCAGTATATAATACAGTATATAATATAATAATAATTCCTACCTTCCTATCCAGCCGGACGGTGTAGGTCTCCCCGGGGCAGTATATAATACAGTATATAATATAATAATAATTCCCACCTTCCTATCCAGCCGGACGGTGAAGGTCTCCCCGGGGGCAGTATATAATACAGTATATAATATAATAATATAATAATAATTCCCACCTTCCTATCCAGCCGGACGGTGTAGGTCTCCCCGGGGCAGTATATAATACAGTATATACTGTAATAATATAATAATAATTCCCACCTTCCTATCCAGCCGGACGGTGAAGGTCTCCCCGGGGCAGTATATAATACAGTATATAATATAATAATAATTCCCACCTTCCTATCCAGCCGGTGAAGGTCTCCCCGGGGCAGTATATAATACAGTATATAATATAATAATATAATAATAATTCCCACCTTCCTATCCAGCCGGACGGTGTAGGTCTCCCCGGGGCAGTATATAATACAGTATATAATATAATAATAATTCCTACCTTCCTATCCAGCCGGACGGTGTAGGTCTCCCCGGGGCAGTATATAATACAGTATATAATATAATAATAATTCCCACCTTCCTATCCAGCCGGACGGTGAAGGTCTCCCCGGGGGCAGTATATAATACAGTATATAATATAATAATAATTCCTTCCTATCCAGCGGTTGATTGAAGGTCTCCCGGGCAGTATATAATGCAGTATGTAATATAATAATAGTTTCCACCTTCCTATCAACCGGACGTTGAAGGTCTCCAGACGTATATAATACGGTATATAATATAATAATATAATAATAATTCCACCTTCTATCAGCGGACGATTGTAGGTCTCCCGGGCAGTATATAGCTGGTATATAATATAATAATAATTCCCACCTTCCTATCCAGCCGGAGGGTGTAGGTCTCCCCGGGGCAGTATATAATACAGTATATAATATAATAATAATTCCCACCTTCCTATCCAGCCGGACGGTGTAGGTCTCCCCGGGGCAGTATATAATACGGTATATAATATAATAATAATTCCCACCTTCCTATCCAGCCGGACGGTGTAGGTCTCCCCGGGGCAGTATATAATACAGTATATAATATAATAATAATTCCCACCTCCCTATCCAGCCGGACGGTGTAGGTCTCCCCGGGGCAGTATATAATACAGTATATAATATAATAATAATTCCCACCTTCCTATCCAGCCGGACGGTGTAGGTCTCCCCGGGGCAGTATATAATACAGTATATAATATAATAATTCCCACCTTCCTATCCAGCCGGACGGTGTAGGTCTCCCCAGGGCAGTAAATAATACAGTATATAATATAATAATATAATAATAATTCTCACCTTCCTATCCAGCCGGACGGTGTAGGTCTCCCCGGGGCAGTATATAATACAGTATATAATATAATAATATAATAATAATTCCCACCTTCCTATCCAGCCGGACGGTGAAGGTCTCCTCGGGGCCCAGCGGGCGGACGCTCAGCACGAGGCCCTGGTTGAATTCCTGCGCCGGTTGTTTCCGGGTCGCCGTCCGGTTTCCGTTGCTCAGGGTGACCAGCTTCCCGGTGCGGGGGTGCAGCTCCGCCATGACACCCCCCGCTTTACGGCACACCGGCACTTTGCGACGTCACCAGGGAAACCAGGCTGACAGCCCGGTCCGGAAGTGACGTCTCCCGACCCGCTGGTTGGCGGAAGTGGCTGTGTTTCCGGAAGTGACGTCTGCGGACCCGCTGGTTGGCGGAAGTGGCTGTGTTTCCGGAAGTGACGTCACGATGCGGCCTCCAGGAAGTGTCATGTAAAGCCGTGACAGACCGGAAAAGGCCGCTGCCCGCCTGCTTCCCGGATCAAGCACCGAACGGGAGGGGAAGGTGGGCTACGGACCGAGAGCCGGTAACCATGACAACCACGAGACCCCCCCCACTAACCATAGTAACCATGACAACCACGAGACCCCCCCAGTAACCATAGTAACCATGAGAGCCCCCTCACTGCCCCCAGTAACCATAGTAACCATGAGAGCCCCCTCACTGCCCCCAGTAACCATAGTAACCATGAGAGCCCCCTCACTGCCCCCAGTAACCATAGTAACCATGAGAGCCCCCTCACTGCCCCCAGTAACCATAGTAACCATGAGAGCCCCCTCACTGCCCCCAGTAACCATAGTAAACTACAGAGCCCCCTCACTGCCTCAGTAACCATAGTAAATCCCTGGCTGAGAGCCCCCCACTGCCCCCCAGTAACTATAGTAACCATGAGAGCCCCTCACTGCCCCCAGTAACCATAGTAAATCCATGAGAGCCCCTCACCGCCCCCAAGTAGCAACCACATAGTAACCATGAGAGCCCCTCACTGCCCCTAGTAACCATAGTGTCCATGAGCCCCCCCACTGCCCCCCGTAACCATAGCAACCATGAGACCTCCTCACCGCCCCAGTAACCATAGTAAATCCATGAGAGCCCCCTCACTGCCCCCCAGTAACCGTAGTAACCACGAGAGCCCCTCACTGCCCCCAGTAACCATAGTAAACTACAATGAGAGCCCCCACCGCCTCAGCAACCATAGCAACCATGAGAGCCCCTCACTACCCCAGTAACCATAACCATGAGAGCCCCTCACGCCCCCAGTAACCATAGTAACCATGTGAGCCCCTCACTGCCCCCAGTAACCACAGGTAACCACGAGAGTCTCCCTCACGTCCCCCCAGTAACCATGAGAGCCCTCACTGCCCCAGTAACCATGAGAGCCCCCTCACTGCCCCCTGTAACCAGTAACCATGAGACCCTCACTGCCCCCAGTAACCATGAGAGCCCCCTCACTGCCCCCAGTAACCATAGTAACCATGAGAGCCTCATCACTGCCCCCAGTAACCATAGTAACCATGAGAGCCCCTCACTGCCCCCAGTAACCATGATAGCCCTCACTGCTCCCTGTAACCATAGTAACCATGAGAGCCCCCTCACTGCCCCCTCAGTAACCATGAGAGCCCCCACTGCCCCCAGTAACCATAGTAAATCCATGAGAGCCCCCCACTGCCCCCAGTAACCATAGTAACCATTAGAGCCCCTCACTGTCCCCCAGTAACCATGAGAGCCCTCACTGCCCCAGTAACCATGAGAGCCCCCTCACTGCCCCAGTAACCATAGTAACCATGAGAGCCCCCCACTGCCCCCAGTAACCATGAGAGAGCTTCCCCTCACGCCCCCAGTAACCATAGTAACATGAGAGCCCCCTCACTGCCCTCCCCAGTAACCATAGTAACCAAGTAGAGCCCCCAACTGCCCCCAAAAACTATGAGAGCCCCTCACTGCCCCAGTAAACTATAGTAACTTATGAGAGCCCCTCACTGCCCCCAGTAACCATGAGAGCCCCCTCACTGCCCCAGTAACCATAGTAACCATGAGAGCCCCCTCACTGCCCCCAGTAACCATGAGAGCCCCCAGTAACCATAGTAACCATGAGAACCCCCTCACTGCACCCAGTGCACTTGCTGTCCTCAGTAATCCCTTATTGTCACCTGGGAAACTTCTTAATAACCCCTCTCTGCCCCCCAATAAACCATGTGGCACTCACTGACACCCAGTATTCTGTGAGACCACCTAATACCCCAATAAACAATGAGATCCTATTAACACTCATTATGTGAGACCCTTAACAGCCCCCCAATAAACCATGACACTACCTGTACCACTTTACCCCTTTTACTGCCCCTCAATTTTGTATAAAATACTCCCTTACTACCACAGTAAACCTAGACATCCCTACTGCACCATTATCCTAGAGACCGCTCCTTACTGCCCCAGTACTATCCTGGTACTCCATGAGTCCATGGTTTTAATAAACCATAAGATTCCTGTTACTGAACCCCCCTTTCTGCTCAATCATTTGGGGGACAATGGCTGCACACTAATCATTAAATTCCACCATTTTAAAGCCAATATGTTATTTTCTAAACTGCTGTATGGATAATGCAGCTGAAAGTAACTGCAATTCACCATGTGCCTGTGTCCATTTAAAATTGGACCCATCTTTGGTCAGTGATGTTGATAAAGGGGTGGGGTTGGACTTCCTGGAGGTAACTTCAAGTTTGCTGAAATGAAGCGAGGGTAATTCCTCTGTTCTCCTGCTCTGCTGTTTTACTTGGCTTGTCCAGCTGTGGTGGATTATTAGCAGAATGTACTGAAACAATAGGCTTGGCTTTGTAAAGAAAGCTAAAAAGCAGGGCTTTTCGTGCAGCCTAGGAAGGCATAGAAGGGGAAGACTTTCTCTCTGTTTTTCTATGTATTGGCTCTTTCTGTGACAGTATATTTTGTGACGTTGTATTGATACACATACAAACTTTAATAAGCTTTTTTTCCCCAACAGGACACCTACTGCCGCCATCATGCCGGCCCTTTTGGAAAGGCCCAAATTGTCCAACACGATGGCTCGAGCCCTTCACAGACATGTGATGATGGAGCGGGAACGCAAGAGACAAGGTAAGATGGATGCTGTTTCTGTATGAAGTGGATTTTGTACAAGGCCGGTTGTAAAGGTGTTGTAAAATACTGCTGCTTCTCTTGCTTGTATAAGTGGTGGGGCAACCGGCGAACCTGTGTCTGACAGGGGTGGAGGGCGGCGGGGCACTCAGAAGCGGCTGGCGAACCTGTGCCTGACTATGGTGGGGCACTCAGAGGCAGCCGGCTAACCTGTGCCTGACTGTGGTGGAGCGCTCAGAGGCAGCCGGCGAGCCTGTGCCTGACTGTGGTGGAGCGCTCAGAGGCAGCCGGCGAACCTGTGCCTGGTGGGGGGGAAGTGATCAGAGGCAGAAGGCGAACTTTTGCCTGATGGGTGCCGGAGGGGTGGGGCGCTCAGAGGCAGCCGGCGAACCTGTGCCTGACGGGTGCCGGGGGGTGGGGCGCTCAGAGGTAACCGGCAAACCTGTGTCTGACAGGGGTGGAGGGCGGCGGGGCACTCAGAGGCCGCCGGCGAGCCTGTGCCTGACCATGGTGGAGCGCTCAGAGGCAACCGGCGAACCTGTGCCTGACGGAGGGGGGAGGGGCTCACAGGCAGCCTGCAGGTGCACAGTGGGATAGTTACTTATGTTTATTCAATGGGGTGAAAGACGCCTGATTATTGTTCATTTGGTTGAGTATCCTTTGTATCTCCTCAGAGGAGGAAGAGGTTGATAAAATGATGGAACAGAAGCTTCGTGATGAGCAGGAAAGAAGGCGAAAGAAAGAGATGGAGGAGCGGATGTCTCTGGAAGAAACCCGAGAGCAGGTGAATTTCAGACCAATCAAAGTTGGAGGAGGACATGACGGCCATCTTGTTTTGTCCTTTTTGGTGGATAGGTATCAGATTAGTATTGACTATACATTCCTCACAAGGTTTATTGTTCTATTTTGTCTCATTTTGCAGATTATGAAGCTTCAGGAGAAGCTGAATTCTCTCCAGGAAGAAAAGCACCAACTCTTCCTGCAGCTCAAGAAAGTTCTTCACGAGGAGGAGAAGAGGAGAAGGAAAGAACAGAGGTGAGAGGGTCCGAAAATGGTAGAATGTTATGTGTCCACATCCTCTAATCTTCTAATATCTGTGACTGAACTCACTGGATGGAAATTATTGTCTCGCTCTCCTCTCTCTAACGGCCTCCCTTTATATGTAATCACTCCCTAACGCTCCCACTGCCTCCCTTTATATGTAATCACTCCCTAACGCTCGCACTGCCTGCCTTTATATGTAATCACTCCCTAACGCTCCCACAGCCTGCCTTTATATGTAATCACTCCCTAACGCTCCCACGGCCTCCCTTTATATGTAATCACTCCCTAACGCTCCCACAGCCTGCCTTTATATGTAATCACTGCCTAACGCTCCCACAGCCTGCCTTTATATGTAATCACTCCCTGCCTCCCTTTATATGTAATCACTCCCTAACGCTCCCACAGCCTGCCTTTATATGTAATCACTCCCTAACTGCCTCCCTTTATATGTAATCACTCCCTAACACTGCCTGCCTTTATATGTAATCACTCCCTAACGCTCCCACTGCCTCCCTTTATATGTAATCACTCCCTAACGCTCCCACTGCCTCCCTTTATATGTAATCACTCCCTAACGCTCCCACTGCCTCCCTTTATATGTAATCACTCCCTAACGCTCCCACGGCCTGCCTTTATATGTAATCACTCCCTAACGCTCCCACTGCCTCCCTTTATATGTAATCACTCCCTAACGCTCCCACAGCCTGCCTTTATATGTAATCACTCCCTAACGCTCCCACAGCCTTCCTTTATATGTAATCACTCCCTAACGCTCCCACAGCCTGCCTTTATATGTAATCACTCCCTAACGCTCCCACAGCCTGCCTTTATATGTAATCACTCCCTAACTCTCCCACTGCCTGCCTTTATATGTAATCACTCCCTAACGCTCCCACTGCCTCCCTTTATATGTAATCACTCCCTAACGCTCCCACTGCCTCCCTTTATATGTAATCACTCCCTAACGCTCCCACTGCCTCCCATTATATGTAATCACTCCCTAACGCTCCCACTGCCTCCCTTTATATGTAATCACTCCCTAACGCTCCCACTGCCTCCCTTTATATGTAATCACTCCCTAACGCTCCCACAGCCTGCCTTTATATGTAATCACTCCCTAACGCTCCCACAGCCTGCCTTTATATGTAATCACTCCCTAACGCTCCCACTGCCTCCCTTTATATGTAATCACTCCCTAACGCTCCCACAGCCTCCCTTTATATGTAATCACTCCCTAAGGCTCCCACTGCCTCCCTTTATATGTAATCACTCCCTAACGCTCACACGGCCTCCCTTTATATGTAATCGCTCCCACTGCCTCCCTTTATATGTAATCACTCCCTAACGCTCCCACTGCCTCCCTTTTATATGTAATCACTCCCTAACGCTCCCACTGCCTCCCTTTTATATGTAATCACTCCCTAATGCTCCCACGGCCTCCCTTTTATATGTAATCACTCCCTAATGCTCCCACTGCCTCCCTTTTATATGTAATCACTCCCTAATGCTCCCACGGCCTCCCTTTTATATGTAAACACTCCCACACCCTGTCTTTATATGTGATCACTGATCACTCGCCTCTCCTTAGCGCCCCCACGGCCTGCCTTTATATGTAATCACTGACCACTCGCCTAGCGCTCCCTTTAGTGGGCTGGGTGTTTGTGGGGCGGTAGTCCCAGACTCACTTGCAAGCATTGATCCTTTATTTTATTTTTTTCTGATCCAGTGACCTTACCACCCTCACATCAGCTGCCTATTCACAGAATATGGTGATGCATGCTGGAACCCATCTAATTAACATGCAAGGTAAGCCCGACCGACTTCATTAATATGTAACACTAGCTCTTCCCTCCTTATAAATTTGTGAACCATTTCAGACATAACCTGTAACAGTGTCTGTCAAGGGTCCCTCACTTTGCTGGAAACCTTGAGTGATTTATAGTTGTTTCACCCAAACACTAGTAGAGACTTGGCGAAGGATGAATAAGAACTGGTTTATTGAAAATCAGGGACACTTTTATACACACAACCCCGTGGTCCATGGCTTGAACAATGTAAATCCCACCCGTGCATCTCTGAGTCTGGGAGATAACTAGATCTCTAACCGGCATGTTAATTATCCCGGAGCCATTACTATATACCCCAAACCCTACGAAATGACACAAACAACCCCCACATGTCATATATCCCTGAAGAGATCTCCGCCTCCTCAGCTGTTAAATGAGAAAAATATGCCTCTGCATAGTGGCAGAGCTGTGGTTCTGTTAAATTACCAAGAAAAAATAATTGCTTCCTCATTAGGCAAGACAAACTGCAATACATACAGTAGGTGTATCACAAGACAAACGGTCTACCTCAATATGGAAGGCGGGCTGTTCCCCCTTCCTTGGCGATGTGCGAGGCGGGCCGCTCCCCCTTCCTTGGCGATGTGCGAGGCGGGCCGCTCCCCCTTCCTTGGCGATGTGCGAGGCGGGCCGCTCCCCCTTCCTTGGCGATGTGCGAGGCGGGCCGCTCCCCCTTCCTTGGCGATGTGCGAGGCGGGCCGCTCCCCCTACCTTGGCGTTGTGCGGCGGGCATCCCCTTCATGGCGATGTCTTGGTGGGCGCTCCCAACTTCATGGCGATGTAATGCGGCGGGCTGCTCCCCCCTTCGCCCAGCGATGTGCGGCGGGCAGCTCCCCCTTTCCTTGGCGGTAATGCGGTAGGGCCGCTCCCCTTCCTTGGCGATATGCGGCGGGCGCTCCCTTGGCGATGCGGCGGGCAGCTCCCCCCTTCCTTGGCGTTGTGCGGCGCTCCCCTTCCTTGGCGTTGTCTTGGCGGGCGCTCCCCCCCCTTCCTTGTAGCTGATGTGCGAGGCGGGCAGCTCCCGTTCCTTAGCGTGTGCGGCGGGCAGCTCCCCTTCCTTGGCGATATGCGAAGCGGGCCGCTCCCCTTCCTTGGCGATGTCGGCGGGCCGCTCCCCTTCCTTAGCGATGTGCGAGGCGGGCCGCTCCCCCTTCCTTGGCGATGTGCGAGGCGGGCCGCTCCCCCTTCCTTGGCGATGTGCGAGGCGGGCCGCTCCCCCTTCCTTGGCGATGTGCGAGGCGGGCCGCTCCCCCTAGCCCAGCCTTTCTCTGAGTGTATTCTACCACCGAGCATAGTCTGCAATAAGTGCAGGTAGATCAGAGTTTTGCTATGAAGCGCTGCATCCAGCCTGTTCTCCCTGATATCCATATTTACAATTTAAGCTGAACTTAAAGTGTAGCTGAATTTTTCTTGTTCATCTAGTTTTAATTCTGTCCTCTTAACTTCCTTTCTCAGGCAGCCCAGGAGCTCATTCTCGGCACAGCTCCCTCATGGCTGATCGTGCTAAGCAGATGTTTGGACCTCCTGTCATCACAGTAAGTCTCTCACTCGCTGGGCTCCTGCTCATTCTGCGTTCTTTTGCTTTTCCACATCGCAGCAATGCATATTTTAGCTGCTATGAATAATCCGTGTCCCCTTATGTGCTAAAGATAAGTGGCCGGTAGCAGTGGAATTTCGTGCTCCGCCCTCTATTTATTTAATCAAACTTTTAATTGAATTCCAATAAACAGAAAGATATGTGCAACTCCAGAAAACATGGCTCATGGAGCCCATTTCCAAATTACATCTCCAACATGCTGGTGTTATCCCTGCATACGTGTTAGAGAGGAACTGAGGCGTTAAATACCACCTCATCCAAATTTTATTCGTAGCTTCAATATGGTCAAGACAATGCTAGGTCAGTGGTGCAATTCAATTCCTTTTTCCATTTAATCATGTAGGGTAATTTAATAGGCCTACCCGCCTCTATCAAACTTTCGTAGCATAATGATAGAAGTTTCATCTGTTTCAATTTACCAAAGCCACTTGTCTCCTCCTGTTAACCCTTTCACTTTTCTCTGTGTAAAACTGTTTCACTCTCAGGTGAAAATCTATTCCAACTGTATATCGTAAAACGGCCTAATACCATTAAAGTTGTACAGTTAGAATATTAGTTCGATGCCCTTCTCTTGCCAATTACGCAAAAATAAATTTTCGGAGTAATAAGATAAGCTCCCTATTGGAGTTGCTGCCTTGCACTCGCTCTCTCTGTTCCTGCCTTGCTCTCGCTCTCTCTGTTCCTGCCTTGCTCTCGCTCTCTCTGTTCCTGCCTTGCTCTCGCTCGCTCTGTTCCTGCCTTGCTCTCGCTCGCTCTGTTCCTGCCTTGCTCGCGCTCGCTCTGTTCCTGCCTTGCTCGCGCTCGCTCTGTTCCTGCCTTGCTCGCGCTCGCTCTGTTCCTGCCTTGCTCGCGCTCGCTCTGTTCCTGCCTTGCTCGCGCTCGCTCTGTTCCTGCCTTGCTCGCGCTCGCTCTGTTCCTGCCTTGCTCGCGCTCGCTCTGTTCCTGCCTTGCTCTGTTCCTGCCTTGCTCTGTTCCTGCCTCTTGCCTGCCCTCGCTCTGTTCCTGCCTCGGGCGCGCCCTCGCTCTGTTCCTGCCTCGCGCGCGCCCTCGCTCTGTTCCTGCCTTGCTCGCGCTCGCTCTGTTCCTGCCTTGCTCTGTTCCTGCCTTGCTCTGTTCCTGCCTCTTGCCTGCCCTCGCTCTGTTCCTGCCTCGGGCGCGCCCTCGCTCTGTTCCTGCCTCGCGCGCGCCCTCGCTCTGTTCCTGCCTCGCGCGCGCCCTCGCTCTGTTCCTGCCTCGCGCGCGCCCTCGCTCTGTTCCAATAATTTATTCTTCACAGTACGTCTTTACTTTACATTCCATGATCCCCAGTTACAAACTACCCCCTGCCCCCCCCCCTCTATCTCATTCCAGAGCCGCCATTACTCCTCTCAGCCATCCTTCAGTCCAACGGCTGCCGAGCATGGTCAGTACCAAACCAGCCAATCCAGTCACAGTCCATACACTGTAAGCCAACCACAGCACAGTTTTGGTGCGGGTCAGGCTGTGCCTGTGAACTATGCTGGAAGTCAACCAATCAGAGGTCAGTGAGCTCTTAGTACAAGCTGACTCCTTCGGATACTCATTCTATCTTTTAGTTTTCTTTTTTTTTCCTCCTCTTTAGGGGCTTCTGCGTTCCAGACCATGCAGTACCTTCCTCATCAGCAGCCTGGGTACACTGTGCACAGCCATTACCCCGGAGCCCACCCAGGTTTGTGGCGTTGGCCATCTTACGGTTTGTCTCCATGATGGATGGTCTCAGATTGTAACTTTGTCTATCTGCCTTTCTTCCTGTCAGGGTTCATGCCGGCCAGTAGTGGGATTCCCCTCCAGAAGCAGCTGGAACATGCCAACCAGCAGTCTGGATTCACGGACTCTGTGAGTATGGTGTCATGAATAGCATTGTTTTATGGTTCTGTTATGTCCTATCCTAGCGCTTAGCTCCCTGTCTATCTTTTTACAGTCCACCCTTCGTCCCATGCACCCCCAGGCTCTCCATCCAGCACAAACTCTCCTCCCTGCGCCACAGATTGCCGTTCCCATGCAACCCAGCAAGGTAAGGTCTCACCATCTGAGTCCTGCTCCTCCCACTCCTAAAGAGGTCAACAGAGAACCTGTGTGGATACCATACATTCTAGATGTTGTCTCATTATTTTGGACTTGCAGTTGTTGTTTTAACCCTCGCAGCTCCCTTCCAGTTCTCATTCTTTGTTTTACTGCCTTCATTGTGGAGTTTATCATTCTGACAGGCTTGCACACCCGCAGTGTATGGTGATTTGGTTGCTTTTCGCAGGTGTGCGTTGCCACGGAAATGACAAACATTACTTCCTGTATTTCCATAACTGAGAATTTGTTTCCATCTTTTTATCTCTTCTGAGAGAGAGTTTCTTCCTCTCGGCTGCCAGGACTCGAAATTGCTCCCAACGTCGTACCGTGGATCCACTTGCTTTAGTAGAATGCAATGAGAAGAAAAGATCCAGAAACTGTCTATCCCTGATGGTGTCAGGCTCATCGGTTCATGGTATTTCTGTGACGATGAAAGACCCATGATCTGTATGGTAGGAGGGATATCATCCAGATTCCTTACCTCCTAGCCTTCATCTTTTCAGAAGTGCTTTGACAATATGCAAAAGACTAACTACTCCTTTGGACTTGGTGTTCTCACTTTATTACTGGAAAGTGGTGTGAACAATCACGGTGTGCTTGAACTGGATCACTTGAAATACCTGAACTTGCTAGGGGTTTGGTGAGTGTCACGTTTGATTGTTAGGAATATGGGCAAGTCAAAAGAATGGTCCACAAAGTTAAGAGAAGAGATCATCGCCCTGCACAAACAAAGGACAGGATACAAAAAGATAGCGATGGCACTGAATGTTCCTAGAGACACCTTTGGAAGGATAGTTTTAAGTTCAAAGTTGAAGGAACAGCGGTTACACTACCTGGACAGGACTGAAAAAGGATGCTATCAATGGCTACAACCAGATTTCTGAGAAGGCAGGTTGTAAAAAACCTTGGAGTGACTGCAATAGACCTGCAGCAAGACTTGGTGGCAACAGGCACAGGGTACTAAACACAGAATGTTTCCATGCCAGAATTCCAAGACGTACACCACTACTGACCCAAAAGCACATGAAAAGTCCGCTCCAATATGCTAAAAATCATATAAATAAGCCACTTACATTTTGGGATTCTGTTCTGTGGAGCGATAAAACAAAACTGGAACATTTTGGCCCAATGGATCAGCAGTATTTGTCTGGAGGAAGACAAATGAAGCATATGCCTACAGTTAAGCGTGGTGGTGGCTCGGTGATGCTCTGGGGCTGCTTTGCATCCTCTGGCACTGGAAGCCTTCAGCATGTGGAAGGCAATATCAATTCATTGACGTATCAGGAAATCCTAGGAGAAAACGTCATGCCGTCTGTAAGGAACCTGAAGCTTGGGAATCACTGGACCATCCAACAAGACAATAATTCCAAGGATAGCTCAACTTCCACCAAGGCTTGGTTGTTGAAGAAGTCCCGGAGATCCTACAGTGGCCACCACAGTCACCTGACTTGAACCCCATAGAAAATCTCTGGTGGGATTTGAAGAAGACATCATGCAAACCCAAGAATGTTACTGAACTGGAGGCCATTGCTCATGAGCAATGGAATAAGATTCCTCAGGAACGCTGCCAGAACCTGGTGTCTGACTATGCTTCTCATTTGCAGCAAGTCATATCAGCAAAAGGATGATCTACTAAGTACTGAAGATGGTGGCCATGAAGGGGTTGAATAATTTTGAGACTGAAGAAGTCATTATACGTTGCACTTCAGTTGAATTTGGGGAAAGTACTTGAAGCATTCATTGTGTTGAGCTATTATAATTTCTTTTGTTTGATTTGTTTATTGCAAAAGATTGAAAGTCTGTAAATATTGACAATAAACAGATTTTCAATGGGGGTTGAATCATTTTTTTTTTTTTATTATTACAACTGTATACCCCAAAACAGATTCATTAGGTTAGTTATTTTGGTGCTTAGAATGTTACTTTAATACTGGGTTAAGGTTCGTGTAAGCATAGGGGTGTAGGTTAGGTATAGGGTTAGTGTAAGCATAGGGGTTATAGGGTGGGTTTGGTATAGGGTTAGTGTAAGCATAGGGGTTGTAGGTTTGGTATAGGGTTAGTGTAAGTATAGGGGTTTGTGACGAGACCACATTGCATTGGAGAAGCCTGGTTCCTCGCCTGTAGCCTTTAGACTATGGCCCCATGTTGAAACGCGTGATTTTCCCCTGCGAAGACACGATAGTGCTTGCCCTGTTTGAGCGGTGATACCCTAGAAAGCTATGCCATGGAGCCCATTTGTATAATGAAAGACTTTGGCTCCATGGCAATTGAACTGTATGTGTGTGCTCTGAGCGCCATTCAGTAATAATGTGCACTCAGATCTGAGCTATCTGGGGATATGTTGAATGTACCTGTTTTATGCAATGGCTGCACAGTGTTATGTTTTTATGTGTTTTGTCTTTTGCTGCCATGTGTTCAATGGAGTTTTGCCTCTGTCCTTGGAGATAATTGGATTACTTCCCAATTATCTCTAGGATAGAAGACTCTGTGGAACTGGTTTTGGGCAGAAAAGCCATGCTTCCTGTGGTCACAAAGGACTACGATCTATCTTTTGAACCACTGGACCAATTTGGATGATTTTGACGTATGTTTGTATTTGGAGTATGCAGATTCTGGAAATGTAAGTTTATGTGAATGTGATGCATACTTTTCAAGTTATGAATAATGTGGAAAAATTTTATTTCTCTGCTTGTTATAATTACATTACCCATTGTGTAAGGTAATTGAATCACAGGCAGAGGGGAGGATTTTGTTGGGGAGTGTCTGAGTGTATTGTATGTGGCTAGTATATGCATAGGGGTTGTGGGTTTGGTATAGAGTTAGTGTAAGCATAGGGGTTATAGGGTGGGTTTGGTATAGGGTTAGTGTAAGCATAGGGGTTGTGGGTTTGGTATAGGGTTAGTGTAAGCATAGGGGTTATAGGGTGGGTTTGGTATAGGGTTAGTGTAAGCATAGGGGTTGTAGGGTGGGTTTGGTATAGGGTTAGTGTAAGTATAGGGTTAGTGTAAGCATAGGGGTTGTAGGGTGGGTTTGGTATAGGGTTAGTGTAAGCATAGGGGTTATAAGGTGGGTTTGGTATAGGGTTTGTAGGGTGGGTTTGGTATAGGGTTAGTGTAAGCATAGAGGTTATAGGGTGGGTTTGGTATAGGGTTAGTTTGGTATAGGGTTAGTGTAAGAATAGGGGTTATAGGGTGGGTTTGGTATAGGGTTAGTGTAAGCATAGGGGTTATAGGGTGGGTTTGGTATAGGGTTAGTGTAAGCATAGGGGTTATAGGGTGGGTTTGGTATAGGGTTGGTGTAAGCATAGGGGTTATAGGGTGGGTTTGGTATAGGGTTAGTGTAAGCATAGGGGTTATAGGGTGTGTTTGGTATAGGGTTAGTGTAAGCATATTGGTTATAGGGTGGGTTTGGTATAGGGTTAGTGTAAGCATAGGGGCTATAGGGTGGGTTTGGTATAGGGTTAGTGTAAGCATAGGGGTTGTAGGGTGGGTTTGGTATAGGGTTAGTGTAAGCATAGGGGTTGTAGGGGGGGTTTGGTATAGGGTTAGTGTAAGCATAGGGGAGGTTGTAGAATTGGAGTTTTGGTATAGGGTTAGTGTAAGCATAGAGAGGGGTTATAGGGTGGGTTTGGTATGGGGTTGGAAGGTAATAGCATAGAGGGTTTGTAGAGGTGGAGTTTTGGTATAGGGTTAGTGTAAGCATAGGGGTTATAGGGTGGGTTTGGTATAGGGTTAGTGTAAGCATAGGGGTTATAGGGTGGGTTTGGTATAGGGTTAGTGTAAGCATAGGGGTTATAGGGTGGGTTTGGTATAGGGTTGGTGTAAGCATAGGGTTTGTAGGGTGGGTTTGGTATAGGGTTAGTGTAAGCATAGGGGTTATAGGGTGGGTTTGGTATAGGGTTAGTGTAAGAATAGGGGTTATAGGGTGGGTTTGGTATAGGGTTAGTGTAAGCATAGGGGTTGTAGGGTGGGTTTAGTATAGGGTTAGTGTAAGCATAGGGGTTATAGGGTGGGTTTGGTATAGGGTTAGTGTAAGCATAGGGTTTGTAGGGTGGGTTAGTGTAAGCATAGGGGTTATAGGGTGGGTTTGGTATAGGGTTAGTGTAAGAATAGGGGTTATAGGGTGGGTTTGGTATAGGGTTAGTGTAAGCATAGGGCTTGTAAGGTGCGTTTGGTATAGGGTTAGTGTAAGCATAGGGGTTATAGGGTGGGTTTGGTATAGGGTTAGTGTAAGCATAGGGGTTATAGGGTGGGTTTGGTATAGGGTTAGTGTAAGCATAGGGGTTGTAGGGTGGGTTTGGTATAGGGTTAGTGTAAGCATAGGGGTTATAGGGTGGGTTTGGTATAGGGTTAGTGTAAGCATAGGGGTTATAGGTTGGAGTTTGGTATAGAGATTTAGTGTAAGCATAGGGGTTTGTAGGGTGGGTTTGGTATAGGGTTAGCAGGTGTAAGCATAGGGGTTGGCCAGGGGTGGGTTTGGTATATAGGGTTAGTGTAAGCATAGGGGTTATAAGAATTGGGTTTGAGTATAGGGTTAGTGTAAGCATAGGGTTTGTAGGGTGGGTTTGGTATAGGGTTAGTGTAAGCATAGGGGTTATAGGGTGGGTTTGGTATAGGGTTAGTGTAAGAATAGGGGTTGTAGGGTGGGTTTGGTATAGGGTTAGTGTAAGAATAGGGGTTGTAGGGTGGGTTTGGTATAGGGTTAGTGTAAGCATAGGGGTTGTAGGGTGGGTTTGGTATAGGGTTAGTGTAAGCATAGGGGTTGTAGGGTGGGTTTGGTATAGGGTTAGTGTAAGCATAGGGGTTGTAGGGTGGGTTTGGTATAGGGTTAGTGTAAGCATAGGGGTTATAGGGTGGGTTTGGTATAGGGTTAGTGTAAGCATAGGGGTTTGTAGGGTGGGTTTGGTATAGGGTTAGTGTTGACTACCAGTAATGTTTTAGTATCTAGATATGTGGGCCATTTAATAATCTGGACTAATAAATTAATTTATTTTGAATTATTTTCTTTTGTTGCAAATTATTAGGAGCAAAATTGTGAAAATATTTTTTTCTTTTTCCCCCATTTTTAACTTTTTATTCATTCTTAGTTGTGCGATTAAACTAAAAACTTATTCTTTAGAGGGTGGACAGTTGCCTCTCTCCTAAAGGGGTTAAAGTTTTTCTCCCAAAAGATTGCAAGCTCTGTAAGAACAAGCCAGCTCTGTAAGAACAAGCCAGCATGTCGCCCAGACATGCTTCAAGGGTAGTAGAATGTAACAGATGCCTCTGTTCATGTGGATTATGGAGGGTCTTAAGACAACCTCCTCCCCAGATTATGGTCCATGTCCCAGGGACCATCCTCGCTAGTCCGGGACTATCCAGTTACACATGGGGACCTGTGAATCGGATCAGAGAATATTTGAACTGTGCATTGCTTGGACTGGTGAGGAGATTATCTGGGGATATTCAATGTCTGAGGATTACAACTTTGGAAGGAGAACATCTGGGGTGTGGAATCTTAGCTCAATCTGTACAAGGAGGAGCCAAGACTTTTTTACTTGTGGAAGACATTGGCTCTCATTCCAGACAGTTGGATGGCACCCAGAATGACAATATGATTTGATTTGTGAGTTTGATGTTACTATACACGTTGACCATTTATCTATTAGGAGAAAAGCTGTCCTTATTCTGTCAGACAAGATGTTTCTGGGAGCTTTTGTTTCCGCACGTTTTGAACAGCTGGGAGGAATCGTACGTTATAGCTCCCCTGTGTAACAGGCAGGAATGGAAAATGACAGAATGTATGAATATATTTCTTCCATGCCTTCTTTCCCCTTTGTTCCTTTTAGGCATCATCTTCCCTCACTGTTTGACACCAGCACCGGGGTTCTCTTTCTTCAATAACCAATACTGATTTCCAAGAACTGATTGTATATCTCTTTCTTTTCACAGTCAGCCTATCAGGCGTCCCCTCAGCAGACCCCCCGCCTGCCCTTCATGCAGCATGGACAAAACCAGCGCTTTTATCACAAATAACTGCGACATATGTAGATCATCGAGTTTTATTGAGGCCCTAACAGGAGTCTGAATTATTGGAAAGGTTTCTTTTCTGGCTTTTTTCATCCATAATCTCTCTTCATAACCTTCCTTCCACATTTGCTTAATAAAGTCATTGTGATCAATTGTATTCCATTTCTTGTACAAAGTAGCACACAAAATGTTGCAGATTGTGTTTAACTAGGTATAATGTGTATTTCCTGGCTAATCCAGCTCAGTTTTACTATAGGGTGATTTCTGCCCACTTGGTGGTTTAGGACAGGAAATTAAATTCTAAATCACCGCCTACAAGGGAGTTACTTCAGTCTTTTTCCTGTCCTACTGGATGTGGATGGTTTCTCGGTTTTTCAGGTTTACAGCTTTATGTTATGCTCAACAGGCCAACCCTGAGTGTCCAGCCTCTCTTTACCTGACGACCCAGTACACACAGCCGTGTTAAAAGTGCCTCCTGGGTTATAGTCAGCAGGGATTCTAATTTCCTTTTGTCATGTCTAAGGTAAGTACATCAGTAGTCTCAGCACCACCAACGTGAACACCTAGTGCTCACTGTATTAATAAATCCCTTTTAAAAGAGGCAGTGACAATAAATACATCGATTTGCTATTCCGTATGTGCAATCTTTCATGTAAAGCTAGCATAACCCCAGATGGTGATTGCTCTATTGGTGTTTGTGGGGGTGGGGGGAGAGAAGATTGTCCCTCGTGGGCAAGCCATCTTCCTTCTCAAAGTTTTATTTAGTTCATGGCACCTGTCTCCCCTCAGCTGGCAACAGTGAAACATAACTCCTCCTTGTTTTATGAGCTTTTCTTAAGATTTTCTCTACATAATATTTAAGGGGGGCGGGGTGATCTTTAACTAGGGTCATCTTAATGCACCTCTACCCATCAACACTACATTAATTATAACTCAAAAACTAGCGCAAACCAGAGGAGCCTCCAAATTTATTTATAAAATATTTGACCAGAATGGACACCCTGAGATTTCTCTCGTTTTCAAGTATTACTCTTTATTAAATGGAAAAGCGCAAAATGGGTGTCCTGAACAGAGCACTGATAAAGTAATTCCAAGGCTATCCCAAAGATCTGAGGGTTCACACTGCAAACCCAAATCCCTGGTATCCTTTCCTGTCTTTTAACCTTGTAATCCTGTAACCAAGCCACCGGTACCCACGCATTTCCTGTGATGGTGGCTGTAGCCGAGCTCCGATACCCTGACTAGGTATTTCAGCTGTTTCTTCCTCGAAGCTGTAAGAAGTGCTGTAGTGATTATAGCCCTTTCCCCCCCCAGGCAACTAAACGACACATAGTTCTGGGAGTCAACTAAATTTTATTGTGCCACACTCAGCTTTTTATGCACAAACTCCCAGTATGGGGTATTCTCTATAAAGAAATAGGACAAGTTCCTCCCAGGCGCCTCAGTAAGTAATGAAAAATTATTTATTTATGAAATATTTTACCGCGAAAGATACATTGAGATTTCTCTCTTTTTCAAGTATGTCCTGGGTCCACAAATCATTGCATTGTTACATTAGGTACAACAAAATACAAAAACAATATTAATACACAATATATACAAAATTTAACATGGAACAGGTAAGAAATATATGATCAACCATGACAGGTGCATTCTGTTTTGAGGTATGTAGAGAGGGATTTCTTAAAGGATTTTAGGCTTGAGGAAGATTTTAAAGTGTGCGGAAGGTCTTTTCTTAATTGCGGTGCTCTGTAGGAAAAGGATTGGGCCGCTTTCTTTTTGTATTGAGGTAAACTAAATAAAGTGCTGGTACTGGATAGGAGATTATAGGAGGTGGGAACAGCCGAGTAGAGCATTCTGCTCAGGTAGGGTGGGAGTTTAATGAGAATAAAATGAAAATTTCCCTGGAATGAGAATAAAATGAAAATTTCCCTGGACGAAGGAGTCTCGAACTCCGAAACGCGCGTCGGGTCTTCTTTAGGATATCCCTACACTTCGCTTGAGCACTCATGATGCACCTAAGGGAATCCTTACCGCACTTATTATTTTGTTTAATTTTCTTTTATTTTTATAGTTGATTATATCATCGTATCATTTGGAGTAGGATTTTGAGCAGGTAGTTTGTAGATAGGGACACTCCTCCTAGTGCTAGTCTTAGCATAGAATACCCACGAAGGTGTTATAAGGAGTTTGTAGGGAATCAGAATAGCAGTGCCTTTAGCAGTATAGTACTCAGATAGACATTTCATGGCTTATGGGCTATTACACTGAGTTACCCTCATATGCTAAGGGAGAATTTCGTTTATGTTCCCTACTATTTCCTCTATCTGCCCTGCTCATTTATCACAGGTGTTTATAAGGGAGGTAACATTACCTTTTTCTCCCATATATTACACCTCCATTATTGGGATGACTGCTCGAATAGGGCTATATCATTTGTTTCGGCTTCTGTAATGTTCCAACACCAAGAACAAATAAACATTGCTGTCCAATTGCCTCGAAGCCGTCTCCTATAATTATATAGGGATTAGCAGCTCTACTTTTAAAGTGCACTGAGGCAACTGTATCATTTTTTGGCAAACGGTAATAAAGTTTAATCGCAACATTAGTTTTGCCACGATACTTTGTTGCTTATTTCATACTCCGTGTGCTTTGCTTTGATATTTGCTAACCCCTGCTTGTATCCTCTCTATATAAGCTTATAGGTATATTTGGTTTTGGTGTGTCCGTTATATCGATACCAGTCAATTGGAAGTACTCCTTAAAGGAGTACTACACAATTTTAGTTTATTTCTTGCAGGGTGGGAGTTTCCCAGAAAAGCTCTTAAACACAAGGCTGGAAAGATGAAGGGTGCGTCTGGATTCCAGCGACAGCCAGTTTAGTTCTTTTAGCATGTCACAATGGTGGGTCCTGTAATTACATTGTAGCACAAATCGGCAGAACGAGTTATACAATGTGTTGAGTTTATTAATGTGGGATTGCGATGCAGATGCATATACTACATCCCCATAATCAATGATTGGCATCAGCATTTGCTGTACAATCTTTTCCTTTACTGTAGGGCTTAGGTAGGATTTGTTTCTGTACAGGGCACCTAGTTTTGGATGAAGATTAGATGCAAGTTTTTCTATGTGCAGGCCAAAAGATAGATTGGTGTCTAACAACATACCCAAGTATTTGAAAGAGTGGACTGCGGTCAGTGTGCCATTTGAATTTGTTTTGATGGATAGGTGGGAATTGTGTAATTTGTGTAATTTAGGTACTGTTCCAAAGATCATTGTGACAGTTTTGTCAGTGTTTGTTTTTTGCAATCCACTTTTCTACCTCTGTAAACTGGTCTCGGAGCACAGCCTCATGCTGCGGTAGATCGGGTTTGCTCGCATAGATTACCGTGTCATCTGCGTACATGTGTACATTTGAGGATTTGCAGACATTAGGCAGATCATTTCTAAATAATGTAAATAGTAGGGGGGCTATAATGGAACATTGGGGAACACCACATGTGACTGGGAGAGGGAGGGAGTCGCTGTTAGAAATGGACACATATTGTGAGCGATCCGATACATATGATTGAAACCAGGTTAGCAGACAATCCCCAGTACCGGAGTTTTTGAGTTTGTGCAGTAGAATGTTGTGGTCTACTGTGTAAAAGGCCTTTGCAAAATCAAGGAAAATATCTCCAGTTAGGTCTCCGTGTTCCATGCCAGTTTGGTTGTCATTGCAAACTTTTAAGAGGGCAGTTGTAGTATAGACACATTTTTCTAAGATTATTAACAATACTGGGAGCAATAATATTGGGCGATTTTATGGATAGGCACTACTCTTGCAGTCTTCCAAAATTTGGGTATTTATCCAGACACCAAGGATTCGTTAATTAGAGTTGCGACGGGTTTAGCAATTGACAGCGCAATGAGCTTCAACAGCATTGCTGGGATTTGATCAGGTTCAGACTGGTTTTTCATTTTTAGATTATTAAGGTGTCTCTTAATAACTCTAACAGGTACAGGTCTAAAAAGGAACTTGTCTATATTGGGTCTTTGCAAATTTAGGGGGGCCTGATCCACATTTGTAGTTTCAGGATGCGTGTCATATTTTAGCTTGGAAATCAGGGTGGTGGAGCATCCGACAAAATAATTGTTAAAGGCATTTGCTACATCTAAGGGAAGTTGCAGGGTTTTGGTTATCCACTTTGACAGTGGAGGGTTGGGAGTGGATTGAGGGGAGTTTGTAATTTATTTATATGAGTTTCCAAAAGTTTTGAGGGTTTGAAAGGTTCAGATTTTCACAGAAATATTGAAAAGTCGATGATGATTTTGCCAAGACCTTTGACACAGTAGACCATGGCATTCTTTTGCAAAAACGTGAAAACTCTGGTATTGGTGATCGTCCACTAACATGGTTTCGATAATATGTATCAGACCGATTGCAATATGTGGCTATTTCTGATAGCACCCCATTCCCTCTGCCAGTCCCGTGTGCAGGGCCATCTTTAATGCAGGGCAAACGGGGGAGCTGCCCTGGGCCCAGTTACTCCGGGGCCGCACACTAAGAAGGCCCACCGTGTGTCACTTGCACTAAGAGCCACCTGGTGCGCCTTTGTAAGCAGGAGTCCCTTTAACAGTGTGACCTTGCGAGTCACTTCCTCCCAGTGAAAACACAGAGCTGCGCAGGAGAGATCAAGGAGAAAGTGTGACCAACATTATTGTATGCTAACACTCCAATAAAAGCATAAATTATTCAGAAAATTTATTTTGTTGAGTGCAAAAAATTCTACTTTGTCATAGAGAAAAAAAAAGGGGAAAAAGCAACAGAAATGTAATAACACAAAAGATGCATATATGTCACGAGGCAAAACCCCAACACGCAGTTTAGGATATCAAGGGCCGAAACAAGGAAATAAACATATTACCAGGCCTTAGAATGGCCGGACTTAATGTTAGCCAGAGATAAAAGCGTAGTCCGTAACGAGCCGAGGTCAGGGTAACTGAGAGCCAAAACAAGAACTAGTTAGAGCCAGGTACACGGTAATCAGTCAGACAGTCAAGCAACACAGGAAAAGGTTAACAAAGCCAAGGTCAATTACCAGAATATACTCAAGGAATCCAGAAACCACCATAGGTCAAAGCAAATAAGACAGGTGGGTTTAAATAGTATGTGGACTGCAACCCCCAAAACCGCTCTCTGACTAAAAGCCCCTTAAGGTGCGGACCAAGTGAATGCACGTGGCATTCAACACGTGGTCCCGTCTGTTTTCTTCTCCCTACAGGGAAAATAAACGGTTTTAACTGCCAGGCCATAGTCTAAAGGGAGCAGGCGAGCAACCAGGCTTCTCCTGTGCATAGTGGTGAGGTTGGTTCCGCCACAAACCCCTCCTACTCACAGTATTTAAGGACTCCTTGTTGCCTCTTAAGTTAGTTCTTCCTTGTCTCAGCAGGGGACGGACATAGCGATCGGTCAATGTTGAGGTACACAATTTGGTAGCCAGGGAGACCCAGCCGAGGATGTTCCGGCAATCCAAAATGGCCCTTCTAGGTGTCGCGTCTATGACACACATCGCCTGCGCACAGCGGTGGAATGCATGCCCGGTAAGCCTTGTATTAAATCAAAATTCCAATTGCGCTACTGCGCAGATCAGACTTTTAAAATTGGCGCAAAATTTGAATTGCCTAAGCCTATTTAAGCTGTGCAAGATCCTACTATCAGTCTCCAGCTTGTGTAGTTTGGATCTGCCATGTCACCACCCCCGCATCCCCTCCACACAACATTTCTTTTCAGGTGAGATTGGTAAGTCTCTATCTTTAAAAAATCTCAGTTTTTTTTTCAATTTGATATATTTATTGATTTAATTTATTTGAAATTTTGAGATATGTCTAATCCTTCTTTACCGGACAAAATGGACAAGATGAAAATAGTGACTCCTGCATCTAAAAAGCGGTTTCCAAATCTAAGCACCTGTTGTAGCGGTCACCCCGATAGAGTTTTCGCCACCAAGAGATGTCCTTTCTCTCCTGTTGTGAGAGGGAGGCTGTAGAGCAGAACAGGAACAGCTCTTAGAAGAGCTAGTGATTATAATACCCCAAAGAGCAATCCCAAGAGCAGAGATTGACGCAGGTATAGCTTTTCCCTACAAGCACGAGACGAGGCACCCCCAGGCATAAAAGTGGTTAAAAGCCGTTTAGGAGATATTCCCCTTCCAGATATACAGGCAGCTACCAAAGACACCAATTCGCCGAACAGGAAACCATTGAATGCCGTAAACAGCCGAATAGGAAAAACCTATAATAGGTTTCCACTCCTAGCAGTTGAACTGGAACAGCATACAATAAATCCCCCCCAAGAACGAGACAAAGCTCCGTGTTGAGGGTCAAGCAGTGAACAGAACAGAGTTGTGGAAAACCCACAGGGTTTTGGAAAACAACCAATAAACACGTACAATACACTCAGACACTCCCACACAAAATCCTCCCCTCTGCTTTTGATACAATTACCTTACACAATGGGTAATGTATTTATCACAGGCAGAGAAATACAGTTTTTGCACATTATTCATAATTTTAAAAGTATGCATCACATTCACATAAAACTTTTTCAGAATCAGCATACTCCAAATAAAAACATACGTCAAAATCATACAAATTGGTCCAGTGGTTCAAAAGATAGATCGTAGTCCTTTGTGACCACAGGAAGCATGGCTTTTCTGCCCAAAACCAGTTCCACAGAGTCTTCTATCCTGGAGATAAGTGGGAAGTAATCCAATTATCTCCAAGGACACAGGCAAAACTCCATTGAACACATGGCAGCAAAAGACCATAAAATACATAAAAATATATAACTGTGCAGCTATTGCATAAAACAGGTACATTCAACATATCCCCAGATAGCTCAGATCTGAGCGCACATTATTACTGAATGGCGTTCAGATCACACACATACAGTTCAATTGCCATGGAGCCAAAGTCTTTCCCATAGTCTTTCATTATACGAATGGGCTCCATGGCATAGCTATCTGGGGTATCACTGCTCAAACAGGGCAAGCACCGAATGACCCGGCTTTCGTGTCCTTGAAGGGGAAAATCAAGCGTTTCAACATGGGGCTATAGTCTAAAGGCAGCAGGCGGGACACCAGGCTCCTCCAATGCACAGTGGCGAGATTGGTCTCGTCACAAGGGTAAATCAGGAACTGAATTTTAATGGAGGCACACTGGCCTTTTATGCAGGTTTCCCAACAAGGGTGACACCCAGGTGGACCTTGTTGGGAACAGGGACACAAGATTAACAAGCCAATAAAAAACGAGTTTTACATTGAGACACTCCCATACAATGTACACAATACCTCTCCTCTGCTTGGGAGATAATTGAGTTAATTACTGTATCAACTCAATTATCTCCAAACGAAAAAAGACAAGTTTTTATACATTTTTGAAAACACCCCAAAACCATAAGAGAACCCCATAAAACACACATCCCCTGATAGCCCCTATATGGGGGAACAACATATTAAAAATTACCCAGATCGGTTCAGGGGTTCGAAAGTTAGCTGGAAGTCCCATTTCTGCCCAGCGGCCTGCGAGGCTCCTGCCCAGAATAGTTCCATGAATTCAGCTGGTGCGGCCGGGCTCTTTCGGGAGTATGAAAATACATCAAAATAATGAAATAACTGTTTGTGTCTGTGGTTTCCCAGTGTCTCTTGTTTGGATGATTCAATCTACCAAATGCAGCTGCTTTCATATAAAGGAAAGTCAAGTTACTGGAAGTCCCATCGGTGTTCGTGTGGTTGAGTGCCTGAAAACCGTTCCATAAACTCGACGACAAAACACTGCTGGCCGTTCAACAGTTTAAGATGGCCACCGCCACGTGTTCGTGCATACAAACGACAACCACCCAGCCGACCGCTCAGAATGTTGAGTTGTTTGCGGTTTCCCAAAGTGTTAGGTTAAAAGGGTCAATAGGCAGCACACTCCACTACTGGGTGGTCGGTCATTCGGTAGTTAGTTCGGTTTTTTCAAATGAAATCAGAATGTACATAGGAGAAGTTAAGATGACCGAACAAACCGACAAACTAATAATTAAAATATAAACTCCAGGGACAGAGAGGTCTGTCACACCTGTCATGGGGTGATTGTGGTACTCCTCTGACAGACGAGTCTAAGAGGAAGATTTGTTCACTTTGTTTATCTGAATTTATTGAAAAAAAACAAGCAGAAGGATATGCAATCCTTTCTTCCTTGGTTTCGTGAAAATCTGGCTCAGACGTTATTTAGACGGCAAGGTCTAGTGTTTCAGTGGCAACACAAGAATAGACCATAAAGATGCACAAAAGAAGGAGATCTTTATCAAGGTCAGAAGTGTCAGAATGTTCTGCATCTGAATTTTCTGAGTCTACAAGTATGTCATCTAGTGTGGAGATCGGATATCTAACAGAAAAATTGCCAACTAAAGAAGAAGCATCTTCAAAACCAAAAGAGAACGGTTTACTGGTTTTATCAAAGCTTCTTGGTTTGATACAGAGAGAATGGAAAATCCCAGAAAGGAGATGAGGCAAACCTAGCCACTTGGACAAGCACTAGAGACTGTGCCTTTAAGGGTTGCCAATAGGTCGGGCGAGATACGCGCTTCACACTTATGTAAATGTTCATGTATTTTCTGTATTGCCTGTACTGCTGTTTCAGTCGAATGCAAATGGCGGTTTTGTATGGGGATTTTCTTTCGTTTCACGAACGGCACTTTAGAAAGCCGTTCGTGAACCGAACGTAATATCCCCTGATAGCCCACACACTTAGAGGCGTGTGGCGCTAGTTAACCGATTGCAACATTGTTGCAATCGGTTATTAGAGGCTCTCCTGGGTGGCCGTCGTTCGACTACCGACCATGCGGCGGTCGGCCATCTTGGATCCTTTGTTCCTCAGCGGGTCCGTGTTGTCGAACGCATAGTATTACCAATAGCTATTCGACGGCACGAACACCGCTGAGCCTCCAGGACGTTCGGGAGTTTCAGGACCGTGTTCACTAAAAGTAATCGGTTCTTTTCGTATGTTTTGAAAGAAATGTGTTTTCTGTGCGGCGTTCGGTTATTTTAGCTGGGATCTGAGCGGCAATCTCACGAATGATGCGCCCAGACCCCAGCTATCTACCGAACGTCCATTCGTGTAAATCCACCGTGTATTTTAAAAGTTATAGATTTTTGGGTGAATTGCCGGTTCTGCTGCACGAGGGGATAATCCCCTTAACGGTGCATTCTGGGAGGATGATCCCTCTCGTGCAGCAGTGCCTGATGGGAGAAATATGTTGTACTGTAAGTCCCCCATGTAGTCCCCTCTGGGAGTGCCCCTGGGGAGGGACTCAGGAAACCCCTTGCATGGGGACTTGTATAAATTGTCTTGCCGATTAAAAGGATTTCAGTTGACTCCCAAAACTGTGTCTCGTCCGGTTATTGGGAGGTTGGGGATATTGCCTTGTTGTTTTCAGCGCTTGACTGTGGATTCGTTTCTGAACCAGCGGAATTCGTGGATTTATTATTGGCGTTCCGCTACAGGAGAGCCTTAAGATGCAGACACTTTAAGGACCTCTTCAAGCTTCAAGGTGAAGATAAATGAGAGAAACTACCTAAAGTAGAAATTCAGGTAGCACAATTGTCTAAAAAAATAAAATAAAACCAACAATACCAATTGGAGAAGTGTCTAGGCTAAAGGATCCCATGGACAAGCAGGCAGAAACATCATATAGGAGATCATACCAATCTGCTGATTTCCAATACAAGGCCACATTGGCAGTAGCAGCGGTGGCTAAAACCCAGAATATTTGGATACAAGCCCTAGAAGATTGTATTATTGATGGTACAGACAAAGATCTATCACATCGTATGTTGAATTTGAGGTTATCAAACAAGTATATCATGGATATGTCAGCCAAAATTCTCAAATTAGCAGCTCGTATTATGGGTTTGTCATCTGTATCTAAAAGAGCCTTATGGTAAAGATCCTTGATGGCTCACATTGCTTCTAAATAGGCTCTGTGTGAACTGCCTCTAGAAAGAAATAAGCTGTTTGTAACAACGTTTGAAATACATCATCAGACAAATGTGTTAAACGAAAAAAACTCTACCTCAAGATAGCAAACCTTATTGGAAGCCAGGTTACAAAAACTTTAAAGTTTCATACCCACAGAGGGTATGGGTATAAGGATTAAGACGTTTTCAAGACACCAAAAAGATACCACATTTGATGATAAACCGAACGCTCCTCAGGTTAAAAAGAGGAGATTATGATGTCAGGAGAGTTGAAGGAAGGCTACAACATTTTTATCACTCCTGGGAAAAGACCACAAATAATCTGTGGGTTTTAAGTATTATTGCAGAGGATTATACCCTGAAGTTTATAGAGAAACCGAAGACAAAGTTTCTGGTTTCATCATATCTATCAAAAAAAAAAAAAGGCAGAATCTCTTCTTGCAGAAGCTATTTAATTTCAAAAAATGGCTGTAGTGGAAAAAGTTCCCAGAAACCAAGAATTCTCGCCTGTTTTTGGTACAAAAACAAGATCTGTTGTTCCGCCCAGTATTAGATTTGAAGCAATTGAACAAAATCATCCCGTCTGTGAAGTCTCGAATGGAAACTAATTTTTTTTCACATTTTGCAAAGAGGGGCCTTTATGGCCACATTAGACCTCAAGGACGCTTATCATCACGTCCCAATGGTGGTAAAATCCAGGAGATTTTTGAAATTCGCCATAAAAGTGGATTAAAACTTCTACCATTTCCAGTTCAAAGCCCAGCCCTTTGGGCTAACATCAGCCCCAAGAGTTTTCACAAAAATTCTTACGCCTTCTACAGCAGTTGTAAGAGAAAAGGGAATCTCTATAATCCTTTATCTGGATGACTGTTTGATAAAACCCAACACAGAAAAACTTCTGCTACAACATGTTCAGATTTAATTTATTTTTCTGGAAAAGTACAGATGGATTATCAATCGGGAAAAGTCACAGCTACAACCTTCCACAAGTGTTCAATTTCTAGGCTTCCTGATAGATTCAAAATTTCTCTCACTTCATCTGACACCAGAAAGAATAAAGAAGATAAGGGAAGAAATATCCTTCTTCAACAAGCTCCAAGTTGTCCCATAAGGAGAGCAATAAGTGTCCAAGCCTCTGACTTGGTTCCCATGTGAACCGGCTCATGCGTGCCAGCACATGCACACTTGCGTATTGCGAAGTGCACGCGTACATGTTTGTGCATGCGCGCCTGGCCGCTTATGCACTGCTGAAGCTAGTCTGAAGTCTGTTAGGGAGGGAGGGGGAGGCAGGCATGCTCAGGGGAGCTAAAGGAAGTAGGAAGGAATCCTCCCTGGCTGCTTGATTGACAGCCGAGGGGAGTTCCCTGGTTAATTTATAAAAGTGCATCCTCTTAAAAAAGTGCATGTTTAAAATGATCGGAAACGCTATGAGTAGCAACACCTTTGCTTATATTGTACACATGCTTGCGTATTCTCTTGTATAGCGGACATGAGAATACTCAAGCATGTGTACAATATACGCAAAGGTGTTGTTAGTCATAGCTTTTCCGATCATTTTAAACATGCACACAATCAGGACCCCACAGGTTTAGAATTCATAGGCATTAAAAAGGTTTTTAAAGATTGGAGGGAAGGGTATTACATTAGGAAAATTGGGCAGGAAGAAATGAAATGGATATTTTATTTAGACACCCTAGCCCCTGCTGGCCTTAACATAGGTTTCGACCCTGTTAATTTTTTGATTAATTAACAATTACAAATTTTTTATTTTTAAGGATATTTTAGTTTTTATGTGTTTCCTTTTAACAATATATCTTTGTTAAAGTGCTTATTTGGTAAGAACTGCTGGATATGTATATTTCTATGTTATATTTTCAATACATCCTTAATACTATTCACTAGTCTATTCCTGCTATATATTAGACATTGAGAGTGTATAACAATAGGATTCCAAATGGAGGGATTGGCCAGACTGGGTGTAACGGATCACCTTGCACCCCGACTGGGTACCTCCGTTGAAGGATGCTCCTAGCGCTTCCTGAGGACTCCAAGCACTGCAGCAGACACCACAACCACCGAACCGGAGAAGCATATGAATCCTCTCAAGCATTTGAATGTTGTATACAGCCGAATAGGAAAAACCATGCGAATAGGTTTACACTCCTAGCAGTCAAACTGGAACAGCATACAATAAATCCTCCCCCAATAATGAGACGACACTTCACTTTGAGGGTTAAGCAGGAACTGACTGTACTGGCACATACAGCCTCTTTTATTCCCAATCCACAAACTTAGTACTGCCCACAGGGTTTTACAGAACAACCAATAACACACGTACATTACACACAGACACTGCCACACAAAATCCTCCCCTCTGCTTGTGATCTAATTATGGCACACAATGGGTTAACATAATTATCACCAGCAGGAAAAATACAGTTTCATAAAACACATCACAGGGACCCCAAAACATGCAATAACCACATAAATAAATATGAAATATATAATTGGAGCCGGGGGATCTGGGTGAACCACATATCCAAAATTCACCCAGTACTTTGGAAGATACAGTTTAATGCAGATTCCGCAGAACATATACAGGCTATATGAAAAATAATAACTGTATAATGTGTCCCCTGTTGTATAGTTTAAAACTACTGAACGATGTCTTCGTGCACCAAATACTGGCAAGATGGCACCGTGTAGAAAAGTCCAAACAGTGTCTGTGAGTTAAAATGGCCGCCATCCATTGTTCTCACCATGTGCTCCATCCATTGTTCTCACCATGTGCCTCTGATACACGAAATGGTGTCTTTAAAGGGTAATACATCCCAGGGGCCATAGTCACATGGCAGGAGGCTGGCAATCAGTCTTTTCCAATGCCCAGTGGCTAGGTCAGTTTAGCCACACTGGGGATAGTATGTAATTCTTTGGAACTGACTGTCTCTGAATCATGATTAAATGTTTTTTTATGACCGCAAGGATTTACATAATACGTCCCATTTATCAAAAGTTTTCTGATTTAGAGTTATACATTGATAAATACCCTATATGATGCTTTTTATACGTATTATAACATTTGAAATTACAAGTCAGTTTTAATTGAGCTCAAGAGACTTTTATCGACCATTTTTTGTGTACTTTGATGCCCATAGTGGGCGGATATTATTAACTTTCTGTGAACATACAAAAGACGGCTACAGGAGAACTCACTCGTGCTTGAGAAAGCCCAGAGAGGTGGGGCGAAATGCATAGCATGCCGAACCCGGAAGTATCTACTACACGTGTACAGAGAGTTTGCGATTAGCTGGGAGACACAGTTAGATAGAACTTGGACGGTTTATCTACTAATGCCCAGGCCCTTGATCTATGCCAGTACAGTGAGAGTTACTTTTTAATACTACATTTGTTAATTTATGAATAAAGCATTTTTTACTTCACATTTTCGGCTGAGGGTGCGTTTGTGCAACATACCACGTTTGGATCCAACTTTCACGAGGGTCTGATCCTCCCGATGCCTGATAGTTTGGAGTGGTACTTCAACCACTCCATAATTGTGAATGTATTTCTTATAGACCATTGCATATTATAGTTTTACAATTTTTTTTATGTATTTTAGATCAGAGATACCTGTCAATAAGGATAAATGCAAGTATTCATTTGTTTGATACATTATTTTTCACCTTTTCACAGTGCGGTTTTTCACTTTGGTTACATTGTTTGCATTTGTATATATATACCACTGTACTCCCATTGGTGGAAATTTGCACATTTTATATGCTCTCACATTTGTCTCTTTTTTTTTTTTTTACTGCTATCTCCTTTTTTGTTTTGCGCACCTACTATTTTAGCTTTGTATGTTTTATATTGGGGTTATACTATATCAAAACCCCTTGTAGGCTGCTGCATACTCAAAAGACCTGTTCCTAGTGATATTTCTGTTGCGCCTTTTATTCTGTCTGCATTTTTAACTACCATAGATTTGTGTAAAGGTTATTGGCAAATCTCCCTGGAGCCGGCGGCCAATGCTAAGTCGGCATTGGTTACCCCATTCGGGCTATATATGTTTAGTGTTATGCCCTTTGGGATGAAGAATGCCCCGGCTACTTTTCAGAGGATGGCCGACAGGCTTCTAGAGAGATTTCAGGACTTTGCATGTGCATATTTAGATGATATTGCTATCTACAGCTGCACATGGGAGGACCACCTGAAACACTTAGCTATGGTACTGAAGCGAATTCAGGCAGCTGGGCTCACTTTGAAGCCCGACAAGTGCCATGTCAGTATGGCTGAGGTACCGTATCTTGGCCATAGGGTAGGTTCTGGCAGACAGCAACCAGTACCTGCAAAGGTAGAGGCGACTGCCAACTGGCCACAGCCCCATACTAAGACCCAGGTATTACCGTTTTAGGAACCGCGGTCAATTACCCCATACTAAGACCCAGGTATTACCGTTTTAGGAACCACGGTCAATTACCGCAAATCTGGTTGAAAAGAGTTGCTTGATATAACCCCAGTTTGCTGTGCTGGAGCCTGGCATTGCAACCCTACAATTTCATAATGCAGTACAGGTCAGGCAAACAGAACAGCAACGCCAATGGGTTGTCCAGGCAAACAGAGTAGGAACCATAATTGATCTCCCAGGACATCCCCTAACCCACCTGGCAGGGTCTGGGTGGGTATGCCACTCCATGTAACTGGGGGGAACAATGTGAAGAAAACGACTTACTTGGGTTCCCATTCATTATTTTTTTTAGTTCACTGACCACCCCCCTGGCTCATTAAGTTCAAGAAAACCGCAGGAATCAGTGCTCTCCCTGTGTAGCCGCCCTTCGTACAATTAAACAACACGTGCTGGCGAAAACAGCAGCTATCTTGTCGAACGAAAAGAGGCAGCAGGACCTGGTTATAGAGTGTCTGGAACTCCAAGTCGGACACTCGACTCCGTGAACACCAGTCAAATTCACGAACGCCTGCTTCTTTTCACAGGCAAGCCAGGAGAGTGCTGTTTGGTAGGTTTGTTTGCACGAACCCGGTGAACAAATGCTACCAATGAGCCAGGGGAACCGTTTGTGGTTTTGTTCGGTTTGGAACTTCCGAAATTGACCGACCGCTACCCTTGAAACTATGGAACTATTTTGTGCAAGCGTCTTGTGAGCAGTCCGTCAAAACTTTACCCCGGTGGTGATTCGGCTGTATTCGTGGCATCCAAGCGCTATTTTGTCAACTTGGGTGCTCAGATCCAGGCTATCCGGGGATATGACATTTAAGGGAGTCCCTATAATATTTATGTGTATTATTATGTAATTTTCATATTTTATATTTTTTGTTGAGTCATTGTGACTCAGTAATTTAGGGGGCGTGTTGTAGGAGCTTCTGTGGGTGTGTATATTGTACCATTGACTTACATAAAAGCCAGCCATCTGACCTGAATAAAACATTCCTGTTGTACCGTTCATCTAGTCTAGGTGTCAGGGTTTCTCTGCTGTTTTAAACAGCCACCCTTCCTTTTTCAGTGTCTGAGGTTTCAGCTGTTATTAACGATCAGCTCCTTCAGCATGTTGCCACGGTTACTCACCTGAGAATAGTAATCAACCCTGCTGCTAATCACTTCAGCCTATTTAAGCAGCAAATCCCAGAACCTCCTTGCCCTTGCGTGGTTTCCTGTCCCCCAGAAGTCTCCTTGTTCCTGTGTTTCCTGTTTGCTCCTGGTTCCTGACTTTGGCCTTGTTCCTGACTCCGCTGCCCTCTGTTCTCCTGATCCTGGCTCGTCTGACTACCCGCTCTGGTGACTGACCCCTGCTTGCCTCCTGGACTTTGCTTTTGGTTATTTCTTTGTTATTTATTAAATAAAGGTGTTTTTGCATCTTGATCTGTCTCTGTCTGGTTCCTGGTTCCTGACACTAGGCTGATGTTTGGGTATGCGTCTGATTACTCGTTGGATTTACTTGTATGCTGTATTTTATTCTGGAGAACATACGAATCAGCACCCGAACTGTGAGCTATAATTAACAAATACTTAGCAGTTCGGGAGGAAGCGAACGAACGGGTATCTGAAATACCAGCGTTCGTTACACAGATAATCTTGAAATATTGAGAGTACATTTTTATCAGAGTTTAAAATATCTGAATGCTTTTTAATGGATTTTCTAATTTTCATATTGTCCATGTGAAACATGAAATGGATGAACATCTTCTTCTGATGCGCACTGACATCCTGAACAATCCCTGATCATCGTTCAAAAGCTTCAGATTTAGCCATAGCCACAACGTGTGGATGATATCCCCTTATAAGAAATTTGTTTAACATTTCTTGTAACTGTTTATCACTTTCGTCTGGTTCGCTATTATACCTCAACTGAGATATAGGAAGAGAGTCTTTTTTTTTTTTATATTCTTTTTATTTATTATTTTACATTGACAAAAAAGATTGACATAAAAAGACAACAGCATACATTCCGATGATAATGTACATTTCTATTAAAAAGAATAGAAGAATCAATATTCTGTAATGTATGCATTATACAAATATCAATTACAAACAAAGAAAGAAAAAAAAAAGGCGGTCTGAGCTCACAGATTACCATGTTAGATATCATTATTTTGATTTTCAATGAAATTAATAATTTAAAATTATTTTTGGCCATCTACTCAGGGGAGTGGGACCATTGTTCTATATAGCAAGACCATCTTTATAGCTTATTAATTTTTTTTTGCAAAAGGGGAGGCTATATAGGTATATTTCTTCTCCATGTTCATTTGTAAGATAATTTGTTTTTTTATATGTGCTCATGAAAAAAAATAATGGGTCTTTCCATGAACGAGCAATCGATACTTTAATTGCAATAAAACAATGGATCATTAGGCATTGGTCTAGTTGTTCCTGAGTGGGGCAGTCAAGATATAGCAAAGCTACAGTTGGAGATTTAAAAAGTTTAATTCCAATATCTTCTAATATCCAATTCCACATTCTTTTTATATCCTGACATTTCCACCAGAAATGTTCATACTTACCCACCTCTAGGTTACATCTCCAACAAATCTTAGAATAAGTTGGATAGATGTTATGCAACCTATCTGGGACATAGTACCACCTATTGGTTACTTTATAGAATGTTTCTACGTAATTTAAACAATGTATATTTTTGGTGACATAGTGAAGAGCTTTGTACCAACTATCCTTGTCGATATTACAACCTAATTATTTTTCCCATTTGGATATTGCTGAAGGAACAGGAATTGGGGAGGTTGATCTTATACAATCTATGGCTTTGGAAATGGGCCTTTTGACATCCTTATAATTAAACAATCCTGATAAAGGGGAACCATGAACCAAAGAGGGTCTCAGAACATAGATATTTAAAAATGTTGAGTCTTAGGTAAATAATTCTTGGTTTGGTAAGGAAGATTCCTCTCAAAGTTGGGGAATAGTTTTGATATTGTTTCCTTGAATCAATTGTTTACCATAACCTATCCAAGCCGTTATCCAGGTTTTGATGCTAAAATCCTTTAAAAAATGTTTCAATATATCTATCTGGAGATACGATGGTATTGCTTTATCCATTTTAAAATTTCTTTTTAGTTTTTCCCATTTATACATTAGATTTTCAACTACCAAGCTATTGTCCCAACCCATTTCGTTCCAATTTTTCACCCCTGCGAAATTACATTCAATTCGCCACCAAGATTCTTCTCTTGAGGAAAACAATTGGGATCTATAGATATGTGTTATCGTGGCAACTTTGTAAATATGGCCAATCAGGGGCATATTAATTCCACCCTTTTTTGTTTTGCTTGCGAATACCATTCTATTGATTCTTGATGTCTTACCCTTCCAAATGAATGTATCAAAGCTATTTTAAATCATCAATAGCCAGCTATTTGGCATTTTTAAAGGAATCATCTGAAACAGATATTGCCATTTGGGTGAAATATATGCACGTATGGTATTCATTCTGCCCATCCACAAAATATTCTTTTGTCTCCACTCCCTCAATTTTAACACCCAAACAGTCAAAACACCTTTATTTCCAGGAAAAGTGATATTGAGAGTGAATCCCCTCAATGTGGAGTTTATCCACATTTAATTCCATCATAATACATTTAGACATATTTCATTTAAAATTTGAAACTTGACTGAACTCATTGATTTCTTTCATAAGAGCATCGAGGGAATTTAAAGGTTCTATCGTAGTCACGAGAATATCATCAGCGTATAAGTTAATTTTAGTCCCTTTATCTCTGAGCAGTCTCTGATATTAGCCGCTGATGGTTAAAATAAAAAGTAGGGGAGAAAGGGGACACCCCTGTCGTGTGACATTATAAAGTTTGAACCAATCTGCAGTAATATTAGGTCCAATAGTACGAGCAGAAGGAGTGTTGTAGATACAAATATCCATCTCACTATCTATCCTAGCTGTTCATATAAGGGTTAATTGAAACTTGGAATTGTATCTTCGATTCTGGGAAGAATTTATCTAATATCATTTACGAGAATGACCATACTGATTTTGAAATGTTCTTGTTAATTGTTCAAGATTTTCGTATTTGTAAATATCTGTTTTTTATCAAATTTATGTGCGTTATATAACGTAGGATATAACAAGAAACAGCTGCTTAAAACTTGTACAAAACAATCTACATCATTGTCACGCCTTTATGCTCGTACCCATGAAAACAGGGTATAAATATAACTGATGTATGAATAAAATTTGAATTGGTTATTGAACACGTCTCTGCTTTTTATTTCCAATTTCCAGAGCTCTGATGTGTAGAGTTGGCAAACATCCATCAAAGGACCCGGGCTGATTTTATCCCCAACAAGTGTTATATTTTGGTGAAAAAAACCTGTTATATCATATTTCTCCAGAGAAGCCTTCATAAAATCCCACGCGACACTGTCAAAGACTTTCTCGGCATCCAGTGACAGAGTCAGGAGGGGAAGACATCTCTTTTTAGCAAAATAAAAAATGTCCACTACCCTTCGGACATTTGATGCAGAATTTCTGACTGGGACAAAACCTACCTGGTCCAAATGAATTAGGTATTTTATCAAAGGTTTAAGTCTGTTAGCTACAACTGAGGCAAAAAATGTTAACATCGACGTTTATTAATGATATTGGTCGATAGTTTACAACGTCTGTGAGATTTTTCCCTTGTTTTAGAAATGGTATAATATTGGCTTTGGTCATTTCGGCTTGGAATTCTCCTATTTGAATGACGCTATTAAAAGCTGAAACCATAGCTTGCTCCTCTTAGACAGGGTAGAAAGCATATGCCATAAAGTTTATAATTTTTTACCTTTTTTTCTAAATCTACTCTGAAGCTTAATAAGATGTCCACGCATAACGGCCTTGAAAGTGTCCTGAAGATTGTTGTCTAAGAAGAAAAAATGTATTTTATCTTTCAAATATTCATAATTGCTTTCATATTTCAAAAGAAAATCATTAAAGGACCACTATAGTGCCAGGAAAACATACTCGTTTTCCTGGCACTATAGTGCCCCGAGGGTGCCCCCACCCTCAGGGATCCCCTCCCGAGGTGCTCGTGAGAGAGAAAGGGGTTAAAATCTTACCTTTCTCCAACGCCGGGCGGGGAGCTTTCCTCCTCCTCTCCTCCTTCCTAGCGACGTCATCGGCTGAATGCGCATGTGCTGCAGGAGCCGCGCGCGCATTCAGCCAGTTCATAGAAAAGCATTTACAATCTGCAGTAATATTAGGTCCAATAGTACGAGCAGAAGGAGTGTTGTAGATACAATGCTTTCCTATGGACGCTGGCGTCTTCTCACTGTGATTTTCACAGTGAGAAGCACGCAAGCGCCTCTAACGGCTGTCAATGAGACAGCCACTAGAGGCTCTAGAGGCTGGATTAACCCTCAGTGTAAACATAGCAGTTTCCTTGAAACTGCTATGTTTCTAAAAAAAAAAAAAAGGGTTAACCCTAGCTGGACCAGGCACCCAGACCACTTCATTAAGCTGAAGTGGTCTGGGTGCCTATAGTGGTCCTTTAACCTTCCAAATAGATCTATTTAGTTGTGGATACCTATTTAGTATTTCCATATTCATTATACTATGATCTTGACCACACATTGTCTATTATCTCTATTGCTTTAACTTCCTTTATGAGTTTTCTCAGATCATATCAAGAAATGAGTTTTGGAAAGATGGGTATAATCCCTGTCCAAAGGGTGGATTAATCTCCATATATCAAACAAGTTATATTGATTTAGAATGTTGTTCAAAGATTTAGCTTGTTTGATAACTAATTTATTAATTTTAATACCTTCAAGCGTTTTTTTGTCTAGAGTTGGATCTAAAATAGAATTAAAATCTCCTGCGATTATACAGATAGCTTCTTTAACTTCCTCCATTTTATCCAGAATCTTTTTTAATGTTCTAGTCAGAGTAATATTTGGGAGATAAACATCCACCAGGGTATATTTGATGTCATTGATTAGACATACAACAATCAGATAGAGGCCCTCTACATCTAAGTATTGATAAAGTACGTCTATTTGCAGTCTTTCTGAGAAGTGGATGGCAACTCCGCAAGACTTTTTACTTTGTTTAGAGGCCCGTTATCAGCTTTGGATATTTTTTAGACGTGTGCAATTTGTTTAGTTCCGAATGTCAATTCGGACATTTGTATATGTGACAGATTCATCTGTAAGACTAATATTGCAGGTTTGTCTAGTTTGCCTTCCTTTCGTGGAATTACCTGTCCGTATGCCCCTATTCGCCTTTTTGACTTTTTACCTAATGACCTTACTGACCTGACGGCCACCCAGAAGAGAAGTGTGCTGCTGGTTAACCTCTTGATCCCAATTAGAACGTTGTGGTTAACCACAGACACCTCTTAATTATAACCGAATGCAGGGTGGTCGTCGTTCGTATGCCGACCATGAGGCGGCGGCCATTTTAAACCATGCGAAAGACCAGCGGTGTTCGGCGCAGATTCTATGGAACTAAAAACGGAAACTTTTTCTGCCGAACACCGCTGAGACTACAGACCGCCCTTCTCATTCGTCAAGGCATGCGAACACCGGCCTGTTCGGGAGTTTGGATTATACGAATGGACTTAACCCAGATAACCATCCCATGGAGTCAATCGCATACCGAAAGGTTGTAAAAGACTTTGACTCCATGGCGATTGAACTGTACGTATGGGATCTGAGCGCTATTCGCTAAGAATATGCACTCAGATCCAGGCTATCTGGGGATACGTTGCACGAATTTAATATGTTCGGTAGTTGTAGAATTATTTATTTTCATGTATTTTTTATGCTTCATGTAAAATGGTGATTTGCCTCTGTCCTGGAGATAACTGAATTACTTCTCAATTATCTCCAGGGCAGAGGGGAGGAAACCAGGATGCATTATGGGAATATTTTGTGCCTGTATGTCTTAAAGTGCCATATGTCTGTCTTCAATTACAGTCTTCCATTTGGTCCCCTAAGGGAGTGTCCACCAAGTGGGAGACCTGCATAAATACGGGCAGGTAGCCCACAGTAAAGCCAGTTCTTGTTTTACCCTCAATGCGGAGCTTGGTCTCGTTATTGGGGGGATTTACTACACACGGTTAGCGACTGATTGCTGGAAACGTAAGCCGCTTGGAGGATATATTTGTTCGGCTGTTAGTCGCGATTCGTGGATTTATTGTTCGGGAACTTGGAGCATCCGTACAGGTCCCGTTCGGGAGATTGGCGCATTCCCCTGGCTGCAGTTCGTACAGTTGAAGTATACACGAATTGAGCCTGCATTATTGAGTAAGGGGAAGCTTAACTAAACGGCGGTTTCATTCCTTTGTGCCAGGGGTGTCTTAACAGTATACTTCCGAATAGCTGAATTGACGAATTTCCAAAGTGCCGAAGTTCTGAAGTAGTGATGTCGCGAACCCGAAATTTTCGGTTCGCGAACGTCGAACGCGAACTTCCGCAAATGTTCGCGAACCGCGCGAACCGCCATTGACTTCAATGGGCATGCGAATTTTAAAACACACAGGGACTATTTCTGGCCACAATAGGGATGGAAAAGTTGTTTCAAGGGGACTAACACCTGGACTGTGGCATGCCGGAGGGGGATCCATGGCAAAACTCCCATGGAAAATTACACAGTTGATGCAGAGTCTGGTCTTAATCCATAAAGGGCAGAAATCACCTAACATTCCTAAATCACAATGGATATGGATTGACACCTGACATGACATATTGACACCTTGACATATGGATTCACACCT